TGGACTAAAGGTCGGAGAGTTCAGACCTATTCTCGTTCCTCGAGGATGAATAACAGGATGTTTGACCAAAGGTGCGGCTACTGGATGCTTTGTTCCTCAAAGGCCAGACAACAGGATGCTTGACTTAGCACGTAGTTACCAGGTGTTTTGAGATGTAAGAAGGGAGTTAGGCTTGCTTTTTCTTTGTATCATGAGAGTCTTGTGCCCTCCCATTTTGGTTGGGGCATAGAAGGACTGAGAGTAATAAACTCGGGACTTTACAGTATCCACTAGAAGACCTCCCCACTCTATCTTCTGCCACTTGTCTATTTCTTTCCTCAATACACACTCCCTTTCTTATGAATGTACAGACCCATGAAACAGGAGCTGACATACAGCCTACATTTAAATATTTACACATACCTATCTGTTGTCTGTCTGTCTATTTATCATCTATTGATAGAGTGAAATACACATGCACAACAATACACACATAAATAAAATTAACTTCACATGTTCGATGGACTCAATTTCCCTTTTTATAATGCCTGATTATGGAGCTGACTTAAAACAAGCTTAATTTGTTAACAGTTTGTTATATATGTGGTGTGATCTCAGTTGTCAACTTAATGAGATTCAGGATGACCTGGAAGTTCAGTCTCTGCATGCTTGTGGGGGATTATCTTGACTAGATTAGTTCAAGTGGGAAGACCCACCCAAATTCCTTGGATGGTATGCTGGTCAGGTTTTTATATAAACTTGACACAAGCTAAAGTCATCTGCGAGAAGGATACCTTAATTGAGAAAATACCTCCATACAATTCAGCTATAACATTTTCTTAATTAGTGATTGATGTAGGAGGGTCCAGCCAATGGTGGGTGGGCCCACTCCTGGACTGGTGGTCCAAGGTTCTACAAGAAATCAGGCTGAGCAAATCATAGGGAGCAAGCTAGTAAGCAACATTCCTCCATGACCTCTGCATCAGCTCCTGCCTTCAGGTTCCTGCTCAGTTTGAGTTCCTCCTGTCCTGACTTTTTTCATGATGGATGGTGATGTGGAAGAGTAATTGAAACACACCCTTTTTTCCCCCCAAGTTGCTTTAGGTCATGATTTTGCCACAGCCTTGGAAACCCTAACTAAGATGGGATCCTTGACTATAGAAGGAGGAGAAAATGAGCTGAATACAAGCATCCAGTGCTCCTACTGTCTCCTACTGCTGATGCCATGTGATCAGTCACATGACCAGCTGCTATAAGCTCCTGCTATTTTGACGTCCCTATCACAATGACCTGACCTCCTCTGGAAGCACAAATCAAAGCAAACACAAACAAACACATACTCCCGCAAGTGCCTTATGTCAGGGTATTTTATCACAGCCTGAAGAAGAGTAGTCAAGGCGTGTGGTAAAATTTCTGCCGACTTAAGTTATGGCCTCCTACTCTTCTAATCTGCTTATAATGAGGATTTTCAGGGCTAGGATTGGGGATCTTTGTTCTAGAGAACAGCAGGAATGTTCTCACAGGAAAGCAAGTGGATTTGCAGAGCCTGGATCTTATATGGTTCTGTCAAATTTTTGTAATTCTAGATGTGATTGTACAGCGCAGACGTCTTTGTGTCTCTTGGCTCTTGGGGCAGGAAACGATCTGGGGGGAGGTGGATTATTGTCATTCTGTTTCTCTCTTTGTTTATCTTTGGGGCTTTCTCCAATATTATTTTATGCCCAGTTAGGCTGCGACCTTTATCAGGTTTCCATTCTTCAAGCACAGAAGTTCACTCTGCAATGCCAAGCCACCCTACCCTTTCTTTGTTTAGACAGTCATCATGGCTAAAATAGTCATTGCTGATTAAACACAAAAAACACACCAGGTACTTTACTTTAGTCCTAATCCTTAATAAAATATGTGAGAAAGGCATTGCTACCTATGCTTTAGAAAGAGAATGTAAAAAGGTTACACTTTTTAAAATTTCACTGTACTCTACAGCATTATTGTTATACCAAAACGCATTTCTGCATTTATTTACTTATCATTCACAGATGACAGTAATTCTACCAATATGCATCAAACACTTATTTTGTGAAAATAATGAACTTAAATATTGTGAGGATTATAGATCGCTCTCATCTAGCTCTGACCTCGGGAATTTTGCAGCATAGACAGAGCAATAACAACTGAGCGTAATGAGTAGAAACTGTGGACTTCCCCTAGGTAGTTTTGAGGTTATACTCACCACGACAGTATCAAATACAAAAGCAAGTTATATATATAGTTGTCAAGGACTGCGCGGTTAATGTGGAATTGAAGGGAGAGTTGAATGGGCCAGGAGAGGTTCCACATACACACAATGTGTTGCGTTTGTGTACAACCCAGTATATCCTAGAGGTGGGAAGAGCACTTTTGAGTGACCGGAACATATGAGTCAGAGCGTGGAGGTATGCCAAGTGTGAGGTGTGAAAGGGACAGAAGTCAGGTGCCTGAGGGTAGCATTTATAGCATCCAAGTTGTCATTGAATCAGAAAAGAAAGTTTGTCCAGTTTTATATCAAGCACAGAAGCAGCACTCTCAATAGCCAAATGTATACAATGCTGGTGAGAGGGCTCAGTGGGTAAAGAAATTTCTGCACAAGCTTGAAGACCTGAATGTGAGTCCTCAGGACCTATGTAGAGCTGGACAGTTGTTTCTGTACTCCCAGAGCTCCTGTGGTCGGATGGGACGAGGAGACAGCCGAATCCCTGGAGGCCCAGCCTCACATAGGGCAGAAGGTGGAGACTGATGCCAATATTATCCTCTGACCCCCACACAAGTACTGCAGCAGGCTTGTGCCCACACCCACACCACACCCACATATCCACCACACATCTCTCTCTCTCTCTCTCTCTCTCTCTCTCTCTCTCTCTCTCACACACACACACACACACACACACACACACACACACAATCATAGAATTATACCATCAGAATAATTACAATTTGGAAGGAAAAATTTATACTACGAGCAATCTTTCAATGTTGGAAGTATTTAAGTTTGTTAGATTCAGTATTTTTCAGACTTCTTTTTTCCAGTTTGGGTTCTAAAAATATAAGATCATAAAAAAAAAACCCGTTTCATAGTGATCTCAGTGTGAATCTCTTCACAGTTTGAGTATTTTAGAGCTATTGTTGTTTGCCAACTTAGGGGTCATCTCAGAAAGAGACTCACTAAGCAGAGATTCTAAAAGGAGAAGATACAATGTACAAAGGAATGGCGAGAGAAACATTTCTGTTTGTCTGCTTGTTTGTAAAATATAGAAATTACTTGGACCTTTGTGTCTGGATTGTAGTTCTGGACCTATCTTTTTTTCTTTTGCTTTTAGCTATATGCTCTTACATGAGTCAGGTTATTCGTGTTATTCCATAAAAGTTCCAGTATCAAATGGTTTTATGAGGATTAACAATGACACACGTAACAAAGATATAAACGTCCCTAGATACTACCCTATTGCTTTCTTTCAAAAAATATTTTTACTACTTTTACTCTGTGAATGTATGTGTCTATGCATATGACTGCAGGTGCCTGTGGAGGCCCAAAAAGGGAGCTGTAACCTCCTGTGTTTGGGATTGTGTGAGCTACCCTATAAAGGTGCTGAGAACCAAACTTAAATCCTCTGTAAGAACAGCAACTCAGAACTGCTGAGTCATCTCTCCAACCCTTGTTTCTTTCCTTGCAATCTCTTCTGATTTCTTTTTTTTCCAAATGTTCATGACTTAGTTTATAGATCTATGAAGAAAGACAACAGACTTCCCTAAGTTTGGTGAGGCTGAAACATCATAGCAGAAGGATGTGACAGAGAAAAGTTCCTCATCTCATGGCAGCCATAAAGCAAAGAGTGAGTTAGGGCTCAGGAATATACGTGTGTGAGTGTGTGTGTGTGTGTGTGTGTGTGTGTGTGTGTGTATTATCTGTTCCTCTAGATTACCCCTACTAATGTAAAACCTAAATATAATACAAACAAATTATATAGCACATATAATTTAATTAATTTCCTTCCTTCCTTCCTTCCTTCCTTCCTTCCTTCCTTCCTTCCTTCCTTCCTCCCTTCCTTCCTTCCTTCCTTTCTTTCTTTCTGGAGCCCTGATTGTCCTGGAACTCACTGTGTAGATCAGGCTGGCCTTGAACTCAGAAACCTACCTGTTTCCCCCCTCCCCCCGATAAAAGGCACACGTCATCACTGCATGGCTATAATATTATTTCTTATACTATAAATACTATTACATAGAGATGTGATGTACAATAAAACTTTATTGAGTTTATTGTGGCACATTTTGAAATAAGCTAGATCTCACACCTCCTGAAACGCTGGGAATGAGGAGTCTACTTTCAAGGCAGGACCAATGGTGGCATATCACAAAGAAATTTAAATGCTTGTTCATTTAAATATGAAACAAAAACCATAATATTCACAAAATTATCTTTTCCTAATCTCAACACTAAAAGCAACAGCAATAGCAAAAGAATTAATTTGGTAATGTAAGACACACTTCATGAAGGGAATTTCAGAGTTCAAATTATGTCTGTAAGACAGATTGTTACTAACAATGAGATTCTCTGTTTTGTTTTCTGTTTTCTTTGAAAGTCTAAGCTAAATGCCTTTAGAGAAAAAGAAGGAAGACATGAAGTTGTGAGTGAGATGTTTTGGGAGTGTTCAGGAGCACTGGAGCAGGAAATGAAGGAATACATATAGTCATAATACATTGCCTATGTATATTAAATACTAAAATAATAAAAATATTATGTCTTTTAGATATTGATTATTTATTATGTATACAGAGTTCTGCCTGCATTCTGGAAGAGTGTATCAGATCTTATCATAGATGGTTGTGAGCCACCATGTGGTTTCTTGGACTAGAACTCAAGACTTCTGGAAGAGCAATCAGTGCTTTTGACTTCTGAGCCATCTCTTCAGCCCCCATTATTGCCTTTTAAAGAAATATTTCCAGGTGTCATGAATCACATCTTTAATCACAGGACTCGAGAGACAGAAGTAGGCAGATCTCTTTGAGTTTGAGGCTATCATGGTCTACATAATGAATTCCATGATATTCATGACTCCATTGTGAGACCTCTTAATAAAATAATATAAGGTAGTATTATAGACAATTGAATACATTAATATTATTTCTAGTGGTTCTATTTTATAGTCAGATAAAAGCATGTAGATTGTAATATTGATTTACAGAGTCATACCATTTGTAGAGAAAGTACCCCACCTTAGCCAAGATAATAAGTTGACATACAAGCATGAGTTCCAAGAATCTGTGGTCTTTTAGTTGAAGACATAAATAGTAGAAGACAGGATACTTTTGAAATAGTCTGGATATAAATATGGTTGAATAAATATTCAACAAAGCAAAGTCATAGACATCACTAAAACTCACAACAGAAAATATAATGAACCCCTCATGGACACAAACCACCTTTAACATTAAAAACAGATATTTGGTAATAGCAAGCACACTAAAGAGCAGAATTTTAAAAAAATTAATTAAATCAGAGCAAGATTTTGTATTGTTTTTGACTAGATATCAAGCACTTGATTTTACCAATATTAGTAAAGACTCAGGAGCCAGATGCGGGGGTGAAAGCCTGCTAGCTCAGAAAGGCAGAACAAGCACCTGATTGACCTTCCTCCCCCACCAATGAACGAGAATGTAAGGATATAAGGCCTTTCTCCTACATAGTCTAAAAACAAAACAAAACAAACAACAAAACCCTCAAACCAAATGTCCCTCCCTACTACTTCTTGCGTTTCTCGCAATCCATCCTCCTGATTCCCTCTTACTCTGTATGGCTTTTTAATGTTCACTTCATTTCAACTGGTTGCTTGCTCCACCTCTTGACTTATGGTTGACTTTATTTACTCTTGTTTACAATAAGCAGAAAGCTCTTGAATTAAAGATGTGTGCTAGGGCTGAGCCACACCACAGCTAGAAACAGGTTTTTCCAATAAATAACACAAGCTTTGGGTTCACAGTGTGATCAAATATCCTGCAACAATTTTGCTAATTTATTTTGAAATGGCATCTGAACAGGTACCTAGAATATTTGTCTTTCCAGTGTTCAAAATCAGAGTCTTATTAGTAACCATTAATGACTTGTCAAGTTTCATGTTTCTATGATCTCCTTTATTGTTAAACTTGAATCACAAAGTTACAAGTTAGAAAAAGAAGTTTTAAGTATTTCAAGAACATGCTGTGTAGCATAAATATTGAAAACCCAGAGACTGATGTTGGGGCTTGGCCTGAAGGTCAGAAAAACAAAACTGTAAGCCCCTTCTACCTCATTCTAAAGTGGCGATCCTGCCTCCATGAATCTCAGAATCAGACTGAGTGCTGTCTCCTCCCACTTTATATTCCTCTCTAAGGCTGGGATTGTAGGCGTTCATCACTACTGCCTGGTTTCTATGGCAAACTAGTGTAGCTACTGGTATTAAAGGTATGTGTCACCACTGCTTGGTCTGTAAGGCTAACCAGTGGGCCTGTTTTACTCTCTGATCTTTAGGCAAGCTTTATTTATTAAAATACAAATGAAATATCACCACATTATTGCGTTCAGCCTGAACTTGATCAGTCTTCAGTTTAAAGCAGTTCTTACACACACAGACAGAAAGCATGGGACACATCATTGTGCATTCACAGTGGAAATGGAAAAGGCACTGTTAAATTACACCAGAATATTTACACAAAAAGTAACAAGAGATGAAGAAGCACATTGACTCTAAAGGAGTAAGAAATCCAAAGATTCCCTGTTTGGAATCTCTGCCGTATTCCTCTTGCCGTATGTGTTGGATCCCACGTTGGTAGATGAGAGGACAGGACCAAGGTTGTTGCTGGAATGGACCAAAAAGTTTGCCAGGCGTTGTGTGGCACAGGTTGCAGTGTTGCACTTCCGTTTGTCCATCTGGTGGTTGGTTCCGCTGAACAGACAAGAAAGAAGTAGCAGGTTGAGAGGCACCCATTTCACCTACACTGTTCCATGCAGTAAAAGAGGGGAAGGACTTTTATAGAAGTCACTCAGGACTTTGGGCATTTATGTAGAATAATGTAGAAGAACATGTAGACGAATCAAAACTACACAACACCTTCCAGTGGGGTTAGCTTTGCAGTTCACAATGCAAGGAGTAATCTCTTTGGATATTTGGCACATGTTCTTATAATCTTATATTCTCTAAGTCTTGTTGGCTGACTTATTTTCTGTGATGTATAAAAGATTTGGAATGTGTGATTTGTATCTAGCCTGGAATATATAGAGATTCTAAAGGTGCGTTTATTTCCCCTATCCTTTTGACAAAAATTAAACAATATTTTGATGTTTTTTAAGATTACTCAGTTAACGGGAAAAATATCATAAAGGAATTCTGCCATTTGCAACACTGAAGACATTGTGCAAAGTGAGATAATTCAGGTATAGGAAATTACATATTGAGTGAACACATGTGAGACTCCACATGTGGTCACGTTTGTGAGTCAAATAGTGGAATGCTGATCACTAGGTAATGGGCGAGGACAAATATCTGGTTACTAAGCAATAGGCAGCAAGGTGAACATATTCTCAAGGTCACTGCTCTGCAGTTTTTCCAGCACTACACAATTTTTGCGTGCTAAAACTTTTTGTAAGAGCAGATCTCACACTGAATGTTATTAGTACAAGAAACATGATAGAGACATTGAAAAGACAAATAAGGTCTGGGAATGGTGGTGCATACCTTTAATCCCAGCACTTGGAAGGCAGAGGTTGGTGGATACAGAGTGAGTTCCAGGACAGTCAAAGCTACACGGAGAAACCATGTCTTGAAAACAACAACAACAACAACAAAAAAAAACCCCAAAGAACAACAAAAAACCCAACAAAAGACAAATAATATTAGACAATTAAAAGATCGTCTAAGTTGCTATAGAGTTACAGGAAAAATGAACTGATCACTGTCCCAGCACTCACTGCTTCATGGTAGTGCGTGGCATGAATATATAGAACTTTGCTTTTCAAAAATTTTAATGTTAGGGCTAGACTGCAACAATTGGAGTCTTTGTATATCAAGGGCATTAAGATCACCACATTTTTAGCCACCTAAACAGCTGAACGATAACACTAACAATAAATCAAAAATTGTAAATGTGATTTAAAATTCACTTGAATTTTGACTTATTTATTTATTTATTTATTTATTTAGATATTTTTGAGCCGAGTCATGTAGTCCAGACTGCCTCCAACTCATAATTCCCCCACTCCCCCCAAGTTTGGGGTTACAGATATGTACCACTGATCCTGTATTTGTGCACCTACTTGAGGCATTTATTTATTTATTTCGACTCTATAGTCTGGGAATATCTCATGCCTCTGTTGGTCAGCTTTCTGCTTGTATAAGAACACCTAAAGTAAATCAATGTAAAAACAGGAGACATTTGGGCTTGAAATTTTGAGAGCTCAGGCCAGGGTCATTTGTTCCTGTCACTTTGCATACTAAGAACACATATCACAGTAGGTAATTGAGAGATGAAGCAAGCTGGTAATTGCATGGTATCCAGGAAGTAAACAAAAAGAGGAGAAGAATAAATTATGTTCCCAAACTTCCTTGGGAAACACAAGTTCAATGTCTCCCACCCCCAGCTCTGCCTGTTTCTCAAAGTTTCTACTACCTCTTTCCCAGGTACCATGGTTCAGGGACCAGACTTTTAAGATTTGGGGCTTTGAAATATACTTCAGAAATAAACTTTATCAAAATGCTTTCAAAATGGTATTTTAAATGGATATAGAATAGTAATACTGCCTACTCTGTTGATTTTTAGAGCACATTAGAAAATGTTTTAGTTTTCAGCTCCAGAGGAATCAAATTACAATTAAGATTTAGATACACATAAAGTGGAAAGTAAAAGTTATGGGGTTAAAAAAAATCAATGCCCAAGATTCTGTAGATAATATATAATGGGGACTAATGCAATGAGTGCTTCTTTGTGAAGACTTTGTGGGTGGGAGTGTTGAATCATCATTGCCTCTACAGAGCAGCACCCTAAAACTAAAGTTTTACGTGAATTTTTAAAATTATTTTCCCTTCTTACTGCTGTATTTCCCCCAACTACAGAAAACTTTTTCGTCAACATCAAGTGACCTGACTATTTGTTTTGTGTAAATATACAATAAAGAAGCAGTCAGTACTCAAAAAAGGCCCACCGTGGAACCCGGATGTTTGTTTTAATTTTTTGAATAAAATTCTAACTTTTTAATCTTAATCCAGCATCATCTTCCGGCCTCCACTTTCTAGTGCCAGGAGTACAAGTGTGTGCCACCACACACTGTGAAATCTACATTTTTGTTCTGTATCCGTCTTAAGGATATTATTTGTTCTTTGAAGGCATAGCATACATAAACACTGTATTACAAATAAATGATTTAATGCTTTAAAGAGGTTTGCTCAATGTTTCCAACACAAGACATGAAATTTTAAATAAGATGACTTTTCTAAAAATCATTTTGGTTTAGAGTTTGCTTTGAAACCTGAAAACTGATAGATTTAAGACAGAAGAGAAGATGATCTACCAGTGTAAGGCAATTTCTGTTTGAAGATGTTCTTGGCAGTGATGGGAAGAGACTGTAGAGTTCTTCACAGACAGTGGGACTGGACTTTGAGGATTGATTAGAAGGCAACAAAAACACTTGAAGCCATCTAAATGAAACATTGTCTTATTGAGTTAGCTGAAAACGCCAGCACTCCTCATGAAAGACACAAGAGCTCCGAAGCTTGGGTCACAAATGCACCATTGATTTTCCCCAAGAAACCTTCCCTCTAAAGATGATGAAAGCATGGACAAGACTCTCTAAAATAATCATTAGGAGGTGGGCAGTGATGTGCACCCCTTTAATCCCAGCACTTGGGAGGCGGAGGCACGTGGATCTCTGTGAGTTCGAGGTCAACCTGGTCTACGGAGACAGTTCCAGGACAATTAGGGCTATTACACAGAAAAGCCCTGTCTTGAAAAACAAAAGGAAAAACAACAACAACAACAACAAAATAATCATTAGAATACTGGGTAAGGGTTACATAGTCTTACTTTATGTACTTTTTTCTTAATGACTTGTCTACATTAACATTCATATGTCGAGGTGGGTAACTACTACTGGGAGCTCCTAGTTATCAAACTAGGTTATGTGTGTGTGTGTGTGTGTGTGTGTGTGTGTGTGTGTGTATGTGTGTGTGTGTGTGTGTGTATCCCCCATCACCAAAAAGGGAACTGATGTAAAGAAATGTATTAACAGACATTTTAAGGATGTCTTGTGAGTGTGCACAAGATAAATGATCATGAGAAAACAAGAAAATAATCGGACAGGCAGTAATGCTATGATTTATTCCATTTTAGGGTAAAATTCACTGTGTAAGATGTGAGCACCCACAGACGCACTTGGTAGAGGTGCTGAACAAATCTCTGTATGCACTGCAAGAAAAAAATCAATATACTAGCAGACTCATTAAGTAATGCCATTAAATTTTCCATCATGATTCAATTGTTCTGTTTATTAGAAACCTCATATTGGCTTTACAGCTATTTTTAGCTGTGAAAAGGCCAATTGAAAATTACAGTCAGTTCAGTGATTACTGTGTGAAACCAGGTAAGTCTTGAGATGAAAAAAAAACTACCTTTGATGTTTCCTGGTATTAATCACAGCTGGTGCTGCAGAAAATGTCTGCACACTGACACAGACCTTCACCCAAAACACATACTCTAGAGAATAAAAAGAGATGATAATGATACTTCCAACGAGAGATTAAATCACCTGCTCTTCTAAGGCAAATTTAATTTTTTGTGCTGTCCACGAGTGGGTAAGTTTGGTTTCCTAAGAATATACGGAGCAAAACTGAATGAGGCGCAAATTCAGACTTTTTATAATTCTATATAGCCACAACATGGAATGACCAGCAAAGTGCAGATGACTTTTTAACTAATTCTGAAATTTAACTTCTTAAAGCCTTTTATTTGCCTCCCATTCTATAGTTTCAATTTCCAGAAGGAGATGCAGAAGTTTGGATACTTCCAGACTTTTTTGAAGAGGAAAAAGAAGCAGTTTAAATAATCACCCAAATTCCAGCTGATATAAAAAGTATTGCTTTGTTCAGACCTCTTAGTTTCTTTCAGTACTGGTTCAAACAGTAGGAATGCCTATCTGCCTGTCAGTTTTCCCCGGCGTCTTACTCTGGCTTTGCCCCTGTAGGTTCTAACGAGTTTCCCAGCAAATGTCGCCATCCATGCCCGTCTATAAGAAGTTCTACAGTCAATCCTCAGTCACTGACTTTGCCCTTAAAGAATGCAGAACTAGGAAACCGTTCGGCTTTAAGTACTGCTCATAGAAGGACTGGCTGAAAAACTGAGCATTACAATTGCAATTCTAATTTCCCCACACTTTTCAGATAAAGTCGAGATTTTCAGGTTACCAACCTTCTGACGGGTGTAGCTTTCACGTGGTTTAGTGCCACAGAGAGGATGAGGAGAGCAGCGGACAGTTTGGAGAAGTTCATCGCTTCTCGAGGACCCTGCGAAGAAAACGACATTGAAGTCAAGCTACTTTCTTCAGCTCCGACCGAAGCCGTTTTAAATTAGAACCATCAAAGAAACTCTAAAGTGCAATTTACAAGGTCTTCTGTTATTTTTTACTGAAGCTCGTCAACTTTGAAATGGTTTCAAAATGTCCAATTTCCTTTTAAAAATAACATTACGATTTCTTTTATAATTCACGATTCTTTTACCATCTTTTTGAAGCAATGCCTACAGGTAACACAAAGATTGCTTTTCTTTCAGTCAATACCATCTTTCCAAGCGCAGGATGTTTCTTACCTTTAATGATCAGTGTCAGCAATATCAGAAAAAGGCTCGACAGCCAGAAGGTTCAGGAACCACAGCCCAAGTCTGCATGCACGGCTTGGCAACTGGCAAGCTGTCTTTTATATGCCCCTAGCCCTGCTTAGCTCTGTCACCAGGGAGGCTCTGTCATTAATTCTCATCCTATGGCTGGAAAGTGCTGCATAGGCAGCCAGGGCAGGTGGGCCATCATCACATTAACACTTGGGCAAATATTAGCACAGCTCACACTGACTGCCTTTGTGGGGTTAATGGTGCATTGGGGGAAGCAGACGTTTGGACTTTCCATTTTTGTGAAATGTAAGTGACATTTTCAACTATTAAGTATGATGGTAAGGAAGTGACATTTTAAAGATGGTTTAAGGACTAACAATAAAGCATGCTTATATGCAAAGAGAATGCTAGAGAAATTGCGACATTATAACCCCTCTCTCAGTGCTATGGAAACTCAGAAATAGTTTGTAATACCACTGTAAAAACCATTTTTTAAAAAGCACATACAATGGAAAACTAAATGAACCCTGGGTTTTGAAAGGACTATAGGAAATTTAGAGAGAGCACAGTCTGGGAAGAGCTGGAAGGGAGGGAGAGAAGGGTGGATTTGATCAAAGCACATTGTAAGCATGCATGAAATTCTCAAGGAAAAAACACTCTATCTTAAAAAGACAATAGGAGCCATTTATAAAGAAGTGGAGGCGGCAAAGACATAAAACCAATGATTTCATATCTGCAAGTGTGTTTATCAGGAGTTAGAGACTTCCAGTTGTACATGGGTACACAGGGTTTGTTTGTTTATTGAGTGTGTACATGTTTAAGTGTGGTTTTGAGTGCATACATGTATAGGACCAAGGACAATCTCAAGAGTCATCCTTAGAAGGATTGAATTGTCTCCTTTGAGACAGTCTCTGTCATTGACCTGGCAATTGCCAGACATTTAGGACAAAGGTGCCCTAAAACCCTTCTGTCACCTTCTTACATTCTGGGCTTAGGTGAGCACACTGACACCCCACTGTTCCACATGGGTTTCTAAGTGTGTGCCCTGGTGTGAGGCAAGCGCTTCGCTGACTGAGTTGTCTCCTCAACCCCTGACCTTTCCTCAAATGGATTTTGTTCTGTTATTGCTTTGTGAGAGAAAGGGCACAGGAAAACACATGGTCTTTTTTTGTTCTGATCATATCTTTTGTCCATTTAAACATTTTACTCTGTTTTGACATACAGCCCCATGTTGGCCAGTCTGGTCCTGAATTCCACGTGTAGGCAAGGATAACCTTGAACTCCTAATCTTGCCTCATCTCCCACGTAACAGTATTGCAGTGCCATTCATGGCGTTAGCCACATCTTCTCTGCTGGAAATGAATCTTTATGTTTGATAGGTAGCCTATTACTTTTATTTAGACTTTTATAGGCATTACATGTCAGCTATGACCACTTTGGCAGTTATACCAGCTTAACCACTGGTATATCTGCAAAGAAAAATGATTTCCTGATAGAAAGAAAGCATTCCTGATTTTCCAGTGTGACTTTTAACACACTCCGTGAAATATTTTCCCTTTCAATATTTTCTTTATTCTTGGTTTGTGAAATTTTTTTCTAATGTGTTTTTGGCTATACTTTTTATCAAAAAGTTGAAAGAAATCAACATTTCTACTGTATAAACTTGAGCCCTCCTATTCTGGGATTGAACCCCAGGCTCCTTGCACACTAGGCAGCAGTCCCCGACTCTGAGTTCCAGCCCCAGCATCTCTTTTGTTCCAGATTCCGAAGTGCATGAAGGGTGGGGAGGTGATTTAGAGGTAAAGCGGATTAAATTTCTGCTGTGAAGGAACTTCAGGTCTAGCTGGTTTAGAAGCATTCAGCAGTAGTAATTGGGGGTGGGGGTGATGGAAACCATTCTAAAGTCATTTCAGCAGAGGGTAGCATGAAAACAAGGGCTGCTGATGTGGCCATTTCAGCTGAAGTCAGCCAAACACGGAAACCAGCAGAGCCCAGTAGCACAATGGAAAAGCTCATTACTGACCAGAGCGTGAGCAGCTGTGGGGAAGAACTCTCCCCTATGAACTTTCCATGTCTAAACAGTATCTTTAGGTTTATATGAATATGGAGTAGGGAGAGCGTCCTGTATATATAAGCTAAAATTTAATGAGTTGAATGCATTGTGATTCTGGTACGGAGTGAGACTGTGTGATTAACCTGCTGCTTTATTACCCTTGTGAAAACTATTTTCTGTGATATTAATTTGTGAGAGAAGTTGTTATATTTTGTTACAGATCTCAAAAGACCCTTTAGACTTACCTGTTTGGCTTTGAGTGTGTTAAAATTGTGAACGGATGTAAACCAGTCCTTTAATTAAGAAAGAAAACAACAAAAAGACTCTTATTAAAACGTGTATCTGCTTTGGAGATACACAAAATTAAAAAGTTGGAGGAAGTAATACATTAGTTAGAGTTTGCTGACTAGGTGATCTTGCTGGTAGCTAGGGTAGAGCATGGCAGGGAAGGCTGTGGCAATGGGTCAGGTGGAGGGCATTGTGTCTCAAGGCCCTTGTGATGCTCAGATCCATGAGGGGTTTATGGGATGGTACATAAAGCTGTGTTATTATGCTTCTTTCAATCTTATTGATGTATGAGACCTCCTCAAAAGCAGTACAGATAATTTTTTTAGCCCCCCAGGCATATCGTGAATGAGGTTTATCTAAATTTTAAAATGCATAAATTCATTTATGGAAGTACCAACTCTCAGTGTTCAGCAGTAATTTTATTAGAGGCAAAGACTGTTACTCCTTCGGCAAAGAAATAAGTTTGACCCAAATTATTCCTCTTTATTTTTATTCTTTTTTTGTTTTACCTACTTTTTTTCCTTTTGATTGTTTTGTGACAGGGTCTTACCATGTATCCAGAATATCCTGTAAGTCACCTACACAGTTTATGTTGGTGTCAGGGTTAACATCGATTGTCAACTTGATACAACCTAGTATCAGCTTGGAGGAGAGTCTCAATGAGAAATTGTTTATGTTGGGTTGACCTGTGGGTATGCTTGTGAGGACTGTTTTATATTAATTGTTGCTGTATGACCACATCACTGTGGGTAGCACCATTTTTAGGCAGGGGTTCCTGAATGAGTGGAAAGGATCGCTGCCTAGCCAGGTGTTCAGTTGCATTAACCCTGGTGAACAATGGCAAGACAGAGTTCACAGCGCGATCACCCTCGCATCCTAAAGTACGTTTTTAGTAGAAAGTCCTCAGTGATTTCTTAGAGAGAAGAATGGGAAACTTGAGTCACCTAAAAGTGGTGTTTTGGAGGTGGTTTGTTTAAAATTGTGTCTGGTAGACAAACACGGTCATCCAGAGGAAAGGACAGTGGTAACTGCATGATGGTAGGTCCAATGGGATGCCAAAGAAAAGGAATCGGAGTAAGGAAATCACATCCATTTGCTGCATTGTCTAAGAGCTTTTCAGCTGTTGCAGAGACGGAATTGAAAAAAAGATGCCTTTCCACAAAAGCATAATCATGGCCTGGTTAGAAATAAATCTGAAACTTCATCTAATTACATTAACGAGTACCAATGAGTCATAATTAACAGTCTTTTGAAATATACTGGGGAAAATAAAGCCTGTGAGCTTAGCTAATTAGCATCTCCATTCTTTCTTTGGTTGTGTGAATCAAGACTCTTCCTGTGACACAGCTAATATGTTAAGAACTGGAGATTAGATGAGCTCAGGAAGGCTGCAGTTTGTATTTAACCCATGTCTGTCTACGTTACATGGAATACACATCCATCTACATTGATGGCAGCATCTTTCAGGGTGGCTCGAGCGATGGCTTCAGTGATTAAGAGCACCTACTCTTCCCCCAGAGAACCCCAGTTCACTTCCCCGCACCTATGTTGGGAAGCTTGCAGCAACTGTCTGGAACTCCAGCCCCAGCAGATTTGTCACCTCTGACCTCTGTGGGCTCCTGAACTCACATGCACCTGCCCTCATACAGATACACTCATAAACACACAATTAAAATAAAGAAAATTAAAATAAACAAAATTAAACTCTTAAAATAATATCCTCTAGGAAGTTGCTTTAAAATTTTCTTGGTGAGCTGAAGATGGTCTTGTAACTGTTTGCTATACTGATAGTAATTTGATTCAGTCTCCAAGTTAAAGCTATCTACAAATTGTTTGCAGAAACAGCTGGTTTAAATGTTTCTGAGGAATTTTCTATTATTTGATTTTGCATTCAGTTTCCTCACTAGCCAAGTGCTGCCATTCGTTCTGTACCTATTTTCCTTATTTTGGGCATATGCTTTGGTCTTTGTTGATTCATTTCTCTATTTATAACAATGCTGTCCTCAACTGGGTTGCATAACTGAAATCTCTGTGGCTCTGCCAACTCTAACAAATAACCCTAATGGGAGGCTACAAGGCCACTTGCTTATAGGTTTCCAGAAACCATTGATATGTGGAGGATTGCTTAGGCTATGAAACTCAGGTCATTTCCTCATTGTGTTCTTATTATAATTCATGTTTGTTCATCTGTAAATATGAAGGAACTCTGGTGTAACTGTACAGAAGTGGGTCTCCACAGTTGTTAGCGCAACAAAGACTCACCTTAAATGTGGGCAGCTTCATCTCACTGGCTGTAGTTCTGAATAGAATAAAAGAAGGAAGTGAGCTGAGTGCCAATCTTTATCTCATCCTGTTCCTGACTGAGGGTTTGATATGACCGGCTACCTTGAGCTCCCAACACTATGTCTTTCCCACCACGATTATGGTGGTTCTCACAGGGATACAAAAGGTCATAAGAAACTAGTATGGGCAAGTACACATTAAAGCACACTGGGTGCTCCCTGCCCATTTCTCATGCTCTTGGTTAAATTCTTCACAAACATCCCTCACCCATATTTTCAGACTAGAAAAATCAGCTGGATTCACTGATTCCTCACCCATTTCTGTTTAACTTCTGTTTTCAGTCTTTAAAACGACCATGTGTAGTGTTTTCATTCTACCTGGGAAGACCATTATGCCTTGGTCACTTTGATTTTTCTTTAGGTCACTTGGATCCCATGTGTATATATACTTGCACATAAGCATAAACATGCATGTATGAACACACACATGAATGCACTAGCCTATGCACAAACAGCATA